TCACGTTCCCAAATCCCTACACCCCCAAATTCCCACGTCCCCAAATTCCCACGTCCCGAAATCGCCACGTCCCCAAATCCTCACGTTCCCAAATCCCCACGTCCCCAAATCCTCACGTCCCCAAATCCCCACGTCCCCAAATCCCCACGTCCCCAAATCCCCACGTCCCCAAATCCCCACGTCCCCAAATCCCCACGTCCCCAAATCCCCACGTCCCCAAATCCCCACGTCCCCAAATCCCCACGTCCCCAAATCCCCACGTCCCCAAATCCCCACGTCCCCAAATCCCCACGTCCCCAAATCCCCACGTCCCCAAATCCCCACGTCCCCAAATCCCCACGTCCCCAAATTCCTACGTCCCCAAATTCCTACGTCCCCAAATCCCCACGTTCCCAATTCCCCAAGTCCCCAAATCCCTACACCCCGAAATCCCCACGTCCCCAAATCCCTACACTCCGAAATTCCCACGTCCTCAAATGCCCTCATCCCCAAATCTCCACATCCCCGCGTACCCACGTCCCCAAATCCCTGCCGTCCCTTTGTGAAGGAGCCTCCTGCGGTCTAAACTAGCCAAAGTAACCCAGCAAGTTGTGTCTTACCGTCAGAGTGAAGAAGACCGGAAGCAGCGCAATCGGAAGCGGCGAGCCGCGTAGTTCCGATCTCTCGGACGGTGGCCCGGAAAGCGTCAAGTGTCTCAGTAAATCAAGAAGCCCGGCCAGAAGCTCCCCGTGACGACCCCCGACGTCCTGTCGTATTAATCCAAGCGCGTCCATCGCGATTACGTGGGCGGTCACCCCGGGATTGTCGGCTGGTCGATGCAAAATTACCATTTAATCACTCGCTCGTCCTTATTTCGCTGATGGCAGGGAAAGAAACCGTTGAAATTTATGCTAACGATCGGGTCGAGGATCAGGGGCACCGCTATGGACCTGTCGGCTAACTAGCTAGCTGTAATTACCACGCCGGCACGTGGACTGTTGCGGGATATTGCTGATCGATGATTAAATGTAACTGAATAGTTAAAAGAGCATGTGAATGTGACGAGTGGTTTGGTCATCGAGCGGAGTGGATCGTATTGGAACAATTTAATGTTCGAGCACCTGTAGCCGTTTTGTATCGATTCGTATTGTGGGAATGCAGTTGAATTATTTTAGTGGAAACGTGCAATGGATTACTGTTGGATCATTGCGTTTAATATTGGAGATGTGTTGCTTCGGGAATGTTACCTTATATGCTACGATATTGGATCAAATAATTTCGTTTGCAAGCCCCAGACCCCCCAGCGCAGGTAATTATCAAGACTTTCATCAATAAAACTCGTTTCTCTAAAATTATATCTCATTAAAGATAATGCTTGCAATGGAATTTTGAGTTGGTTATAAACGAGGTCGTTCAAAATTGCAATATCGTCGATTGAGATATGCAACGCGATAAACTGCGCCTGCATAACCTATTTCGTGATGTTAAGAAATACTTCTTACTCAATTACGACTCTTCGGAAAATGGAATTCCGATTCGGTTGCATTACCTAGGAGAAGTTGCTGGACGTGTTGAGGCATCACGGGTTTCTTCAAGCGACTCAAGAACAGCTGTAACGCTGCTGCACATTCTAAGGCTGCGTCGTTGTTGTTGTCCAAATGTGGCCTCTCTCCTTTCTTCAACGAATTCAGTATTCGTCTTCGGAGATCGCGACGACCGGCTCGGCGGAATAAACCCTCCTCTCTGGCATCTTAAACGAAAGTTACTTCCATTGGAATTTATTACTCGTCCTTATATTATTAGAAGTCTGCTCGAGTCCTTATATTATTAGAAGTTTGTTATTAGGTCACAGCGCCATTTTGACGAGCCCGCCATTTTGAGGTTACGCGAAATGTATAATACTTTCTTTCGCGTACGTTCTTTCAGGAAAATGATGATCTGTTTCACAGCCTGCAATGATTTCTTCGATATTATGTCGTCATCTGTTTCTTGCCTGCAACAAATCACACTAAATTACATTCGTCACTTTATAAATTCTAAATAAATGATGGCATATAGATGTGTGTATTGTTTAAAAATTTCTTTCGATCATATTAGTTATTGTGTTCAATGTGAAAAGATAGGTTAAGTTAAATTAACTGTATATTAACTAAAAAATAAAAGTAGACTACAGTAGGTTGGAGAAGCAAACTAGTAAGGTTAAGTTGTTAAAAGTATTTAAAAAAAAAGAATTCCTACCAAGTGAAGTAATAAACGCAAACCAAACAAGACTCAATATTCTAAATAAACGATGGCATAGCAACCATTTTGTAACCACAGTTGCAACAAATTCAAGGCCAAAGCAGACGTCCGCACAATGCAACAAACAATACATCTCTTATTGCTACTCGATCCGAAAGTGGATCAAGGTTCATTAATTTCCGGAAGAGTGTTAAAACAAGGTGACGCGAAACCACTCCGTTTCCGTTAGCTGGAACGAAAACATCTCAACAGAGAGACACGTGATTTAGCTTATAAAGAGGCTACGATCGGTGCTGCCCTTAATATACTCAGCATGTTCGAGCGAGTACTCGTTCTGCCGTGTTTGTTCGCGATCCTGGTGTCTGGGTCGCCAGGGATTTATCAAGACGATCTAGTCAGGAGTCTCAGACATGCTTCCTGTCCCTCGTGCCGTAGAGAGCGCCCTGATGCCCTGGTATCCTGGTGAGTGCCCTAAGAATGCGAGGTCCGATCGACCCAGTTTGCAAGGTTGAGCCTGCAAGTTTGCAAAGTTAACTTTCTCTAAAAATTTCTTTGAACTCAATTTCAAGGGGTTCTCTTCTCTTCTGAAACATCAAACCCCATTTTTGCAAAGGGAAATCTCATTCAGAATCACTTCAGCAACCTTCCATTTCAGGGAGCTACACTCCCACTGTGAGACACCCTGTATTTACCATTTGTCACCAGTCAAAAGAATTTTATTAACCTACCCAATAATACTATAAATGTTTCAGGTACTCGGAACCCGTCAGAGAGTACCGTGCCCTGGAACCGGAAGCCCCCTGGTCCAATTTCCAACAGGACGCACCCATGTACCCGTACGAGCGAGCCCTTAGAAGCCGAGGAGGCCCTCCTTTCAGGCTTCGAAGCCCCGGCAAACGCGAGGATCCCTTCTCCCTCGAAGGAGACGTCAATTTTGACCTGGCTCCTACACCGGCCGCCCCTGTTCGCGGCTTAGAAGGACCCCGCGAGTACCAGCCCCGTTACCAATATCCACGACCCATGCCCAGACCCAGCTATTTGAAGCCTAGCTTCTACAACAAGATCAGTCGCAACACGGACCTGGGTTCCGGTCGATACGACAGATACGATGGATTCAGATCAGTCTATGAGGAACCTAGGAAACCGTATGAGGTGCGATCACAGAGTTATCCTCTCGTGGAACGTCCTCTGGTTCAACCACAACCGTACCCTGTTCACATGGGACGTCGGATTCAGTCACAGAGCTACCCAGGACAGGGTGCGGGGTACAGGATGGACTCACAGGTCCACATGGAACGTCCAGTTCAACCACAGCCCTACTCTGTCAACATGGAACGTCCAGTTCAGTCACAGACCTACTCTGTCAACATGGAACGTCCAGTTCAGTCACAGACCTACCCTAGAAGACCCGTTATTAATATAAGGACACCTGCACCGGAGGAGTTCCTGTCCAGAGAGCAGCCTCGAGACGTATACCCACCTCAAATTAAGGATTCCTATAATTTCACGCCTGAAAGTGTCTACAAAATGCGGAGTGCAAAAGATTCCAATAACGGTTGGGAGGTAAAGAGGGAAAAGGCAGAGAGACAAGCAGGAATCGAGGAATACGAAAGTCAGCAGAGAGGCAAAATGGCGGAGGAGATGAGGCAGGGTAATGGCGGTCGTCAGAGTAATGGACAGTTCGATTCCGGTGACCAGGAGGACATGAAGGGGAAGAGGGGTGCTAACGAAAACACTAACGTGGAAGTATTAGGCAGGTCTAAGGTGTCGTGGAACAGGTTAGCGAAACCTACGGAGGTTAGTTCGCCGGAAATGGCTGAGGCAGTTACAGAACGGGTGGAGGATGCGAAGGCTGTAATTGTGCCTTAATCCTGGGAAGACGCTCCTCGAGTGTTATCGGTGGACGGGTAACTGCTGGTAATTTCGTGGAAATGAAATTCTCTAGTACCTTTGTTATGAAGGCTGGGAATTTGTGTTAGCTTAAGTAATTAATGAAAGACTGTGTTTAAACCAGCGATTTCTGCTTCTTATAGAAAATGAAGCACCAAGCTGTATATATTTAGTGCGATAAAAGTAATGTAAGACTGTCCTATAAAATTTCTCTGTGCGGAGAACCTCGGAAGAGGGAAATAAAAAATTAAAGGTTATATAACAAATAGTTTCATTTCTATGTTATTATTTCTACAAACTCCCTACATATCTTCCTATATATTGTAAGATTAACACTAAACCTACCGACATATCATGTACACTTGATTCGAAATTAAAAATAAATATACAAACGACGAAACATAAATTAGCACACATTCTTTATCTTGATAAAAATCAATGCCGATTTCAAGGAATGTACTTTAACAAAATGTGTAGCTTATAACAAGAAACTTGTGGAGCGGTCATTTGGTAGTTCCAGCGTTAAAAGAATTCCCTATCCTATAACCTAACCTATAAACTAGAATCCTTCATCAGACGATCATGGCACGTGTTCTTTCCCAAAAGAACCGGAGAAGAAAGAAAGAAGGTTTGGAACAACAGTCACCTTATCCGATTCGATAGTCGAAAATCGTATTCGATAAAAGTATTCTCGCGGTTGAAATGATCCTGCACGTACTACCGTCTGTTATACGGCGGATCCAATCGAAGTAGCGGAGATAAGAAGAATCTCGGCTGTTTCCCGAGGGAAGCAAGTGCCGGAGATTAAAACGGTAGAGGGGAAACAATCGGAGCTTTGTGCTCAGAAGTCGCGTAGAGGAACAGTTTAACGTGACTGTTCATTTCGAAATTATTTCCAGTCCATGGATTTTGTTAGACTACGTTTTGCATAGATTTGATGAATTAATATTAGAGATGGAGGTTATGGGTGAGGATTATGGGAGGTACAACAAAATGGCGGGAAAAGGGAGATTTAACGATGGAGTGATCTGATGATGAAATAATTGTTGCTGCGTTTTGTTGATGGAATGTTAATTGAGAAATGTTTTAATGTTGGAATGATCAAATGATAAATTGTTTCAATGGTAAAGTGCTAGAATATTAGAATGACCGAATGGTGGAATGTTCTAACCACAAAATGGTCGACTGGTGAAATATCAAAATGGAGAAAGGTTCTAATGGTAGAATGTTATGATGATTAAATGTCCCATTAGTGAAATGCTAGAATATTAGAATGACCGAATGGAGGAATGTTCTAACCTCAAAATGGTCGACTGGTGAAATATCAAAATGGAGAAAGGTTCTAATGGTAGAATGTTATGATGATTAAATGTCCCATTAGTGAAATGCTAGAATATTAGAATGACCCAATGGTGGAATGTTCTAACCTCAAAATGGTCGATTGGTGAAATATCAAAATGGTGGAAGGTACCAATAGTAGAATATTATAATGATTAAATGTCCCATCAGTGAAATGCTAGAATATTAGAATGACCGAATGGTGGAGTGTTCTAACCTCAAAATGGACGATTGGTGAAATATCAAAATGGTATAAAATTCCAATGGTGAAATGTCCCTATGCTGAAATGATAGAGCGTTGAAATGATCCAATGGTGGAACGTCCCAATCTCGAAATAGGCCAATAAAATATTCCACTGGCACAACATAACAGAGTAAAACATAAAATAACCCAATAACTATTCCACTAATTATCCAATAAAATCGACTACTGCTATATCTCAAAAATACTGTAATTCAATAGTATGAATCCAACCTAACCAGTAGACCAACACAGCAATTATCAACAGTATAACCCAACAGCAAAATAAAATTCCCAACGAATACGAATCCGCTAATTTCCTTAACAGAATAATGAAATTGTGAACATGAAAAAATATCCCGCATACCCGATCAAAGGTTTCAACACGAGCAAAAAATTTGCAACTATATTTTCGCTTCAATTTGATTACACAAGAGCGCAGCATGACCGCGTGCTCTTGATTCCGTATTCAATTACAACATTTTATTATCGCCATGCAAATGCCAGCGCTATTATTGTTTGTTATACAATTTCCTACAGCGTGCGTTATTGTTTGGAATTAAAACATATAATCCAAGTACCGTATAAGCATCATTCACTTTTGTAATTCAAAACAATACAAATTATTTGATGTTCAAACCAGAGATATAATAATTATCTGCATCCGTGCACCGAACAGCTCGAAATACATCGAAATACCAGAATATTCTCGTAGCACTTTATGATTTAATTTATATTTTTAATTTATATTTATATTTCCTCAACTCTATTGCCTTATTGTTTATAACCTTATCGAATTTGAGATTTTAGTTAAGTACTAGAATTTAAGGACTCCATTAAGGCTTCAGAAGTATAATACTAGTTTTACTACAGATTTATTCCAGCAACTTTGCTCAACTTGCTGCTCAACCAGACTCAATAGTATCTATTTCGTTTAACCACTCCTCAACTTTGCTTAACCCACAAAACTCGTGATCTCGTAACACCGCTGCGTGGAACGTCAGTGTCAACAAGTGACCCAATAATTTCCGGAATTCGGCGTGGTCAGCAGTCTCGTGTTGTGGATGCGTATAGAGTTGCGACACCGAGTACGTCCGCCAGGACCTTTAAATACCAGCCCGACCAGTCGAATCGTCAGTTCAGCATCGAACAATGAATCCTAAAGCCTGCTTCGCCCTTTTTGCGCTCGGTCTGGCGTTGGCGAGTGCCATTCCAGCGAAGATCGAGAGGAAGTCGGTGTACGACGAGCCTGCGAAGGACCTGAAGGTGGAGGAACTCGGCGATGACAAGGAGCGAGCGAAGAAGTCCACTCTCTGCATGGAGATCAAGGACAAGGGCGCTCATACTCTCGGACCGGTTCAGACCATGAACCTGGTACCGCAGAACGGGCAAGTGCAGACCTTCAGCGTCCCTTCAGGACAGCAGGTGTCGCAGACCTTCAGCGTCCCTTCAGGACAGCAGGCAGCGCAGACCTTCAGCATCGGAGGGCAACAAGCAGCGCAGACGGTGAGCATCGGTGAAGGGTCAGGAGTGCAGACGTACAACATCCCATCGGGTCAGCATGGAGTGCACACGTTCAACATCGCCGCGGGACAACAGCCACTGCAAGCCTACAGCATCCCATCCGCCCAGCAGCCCGTCCAGACCCTCAGCGTGATCCAGAC